TCGCCGGTTCACGCCCCGGCCCCGACAACATCAAAATTGTGGGTGGGGTAGGTGAAACACCCACACTTGCCCCCACCCTCATTCGCCCCACTCTGGGCCCATGAGCAAGGCCCTTAACCTCCACCATGTGCTCCCTAAACAGGTCTCTCTTGAAAATGAGTTCTCGTGGCTCAATGAGACTAACCTGTATAAATAAAGGCTAAATGAAAAAAAAAAAAAATGGAGAGTCGAGGGTTCGATTCCACCTGAAGTCACATATTGAAGTGTTCCTGGGTAAAAAAACACTGAACCCCTCCTTGCTTCTGATGCGTGTCCCATCACTGTATCTTATCAATCACAATCACCATCACATTATCTTTGTAGAGACATAGTAGAGTGCTGTATGAATGTGTGTGGAGGTAAATGAGGGCACAGATGGTGTTGTAGAGCACTTTAAGTGTCTTGATTAGGTAGAAATGCTTTAAATAAGTACAGTCCAATTACCATCGTTAAGATTAGATATGAATGATTTCCTCAGATCTCTGCAAGGAGCAGATGTTAAAATCGATTTTTAACTTATAATTCATTCATAGCCTGTAAGTGACACTATAGTCCTTTGCTTATTTTCTTCAACCAGTTTTTAAAAACAGCATCTTATTTATGTGTGCACGGATTGAAAAACTATTCTAGATCATGCACATTATTGGGATGACCACCTCCACCCTCAGTGAACTCATCTCAGCTGGTTTTGTACCCACATTTCTGTCAGAGCTCATGCAGATGTCAAAATTCATTTCTTGCACTCTCTAGGTGCCGTTTGGAAAGTTACACAGTCAAAAATTAACATCAATATTTTGGTTTATTTAGCCTTTAATAAGAAAAAAATAGCTTTTTTTTTTCAAAGTCATATTTTCACCACGTTTCACTATGACATTTATAAATAAATGTCATAGTTCCAAACTAAATATTTAATTTACAAGCTAAATATTTAGTTTACAAACTAAATACTTAACTTGCAAGTTAAATTTTTAGTTAGTAAACTAAATATTTAGGTGTAAATTAAGTTTTTAATTTCCAAGCTAAATATTTTTTTCAAAACTAAGCATTTAGTTTTCAAACTAAATATTTAATTTCTAAGCTAAACATTTATTTCCAAAATAAATATTTAATTTACTAACTAAATATTTAACTCTCACCTAAATATTTAACATGCAAGCTAAATATTTAGCTTTATCAGTGTTTCCCCTACCATTATACAAGTGGGGCACCCCGCCCTATCAAAAGAACCGAGAGACCCTTATACCGACCCCCCCCCCCCCCCCCCCCATCCACCAGTCGGCACTGATTTAACGCTAAACTAGTGGCTTGCAAAATTTTACTTGCAAGCTAAATATTTAGCTTTGCAAGTTAAATATTTAGTTAGAAAATAAAATATTTAG